AAGGAGAAACATCTGTAACAAAAAAACAAAACAAAGAATCCCTGCTATTGGATGTCACACAAAGTTTTCTCAGGGACCAGTTAAGCATGATGTCTTCTCAATCTTTTCAGTTCCCCATTTTGTTGTAGCAGAGGTCTAAGGAGAAGTTGCAATATTTATCTGAAAGTAAGAACTTCAGATCGTTCCCCTAAAATGAACCAGTCAGGCACAGATTCATGGAAGTTTGTGGAAATGGAAATAGGAGAAAAAGGTATAGGGAACACATCTCGTATGTCCATTTCAGTGTTGGCAGGGGTTTTTTTTAGCTTCGCTGGCCATCTAAAACCTATCATTTTAACTGAAATGTTGATTGTCCCAGGTTGCCCAGTCACTGCTAAGAAATATCTGTGTGAACGTTTTTATCTAGTGTGGATAATACCTGAGAATAAAAACATTCCTGTAGACTTGGGAATGGACATATTTTTATGCACCCATTGTAACAAGCAGCTGTCAGAACTGGTTTCAGATCTGTTCCAGGGACCAACAGCAAGTCATCTCAGTCAAAGCTTAGCAAGTCAGCCAGCCAGGGGCAGCCTCTTTCTTCTGAAAGGCAGTCTCACCCTCTCTGAGTGCCAACCAATCAACAACAGTCTCAACCAAGTAACACTGTTCCTATCAATGATGTCAGTCCTCTTAGACCCCTGGGAGTCCTCCAATCCCTGAACTCCATCCTTCCCAACCAGGTGGTGTGCTAGAGCTGGCCTATCAGCTAACAAGAGCCAACTGCTAAATAGTCAGGAAATGTGTGGGCCATTTATTCAATTGTCAGTAGTTTGAAGTCAGGACATGATGGAACCATTTATACCATGGCATTTGGCAAGTGCTATACATCTGGTTTACCAGCACTCTACTGACAAAAATACAGTTGTCCCTCGTTTATCGTCGTTAATCCATTCCAGACTCTAGCGGTTGCACCTGGCGTTGCAGGATTCCTGGGGTGCTCGAATACATAGGCCTACAGTCCAAATGTACAGTAATTTTAATTTTAATTGTAATTGTAATACAGGGGTGTACAATTGACTCAGAAAACCCTAGCGCGCGCTATATCATTTTCACTATCTCCATCAACTTTTTAATGAATATATTTGAAAAAACCATGATAGAGTGAAGCCGCGAAAGTCGAAGTGCCAATTGGCGAGGGACGGCTGTATATAAAAAATCAGTATCAGCATTCTACTGTGTTCAGAGACAGAGCTTAACCAGCATAGCTCTGCTCTACCTTAGGAAGCAATATATTCTGATTCATCTTTGCATTTTATCATCGTTTGATGTACCCACCCATGAATAATTTTGCATGGCTAATTAAAAAAAATATTTTTCTTTATTGATTTGAGAGAGAGAGGAAGAGAGAGGGAGAGATAGAAACATTGATGAGAGAGAACATTGATTGGCCACCTCCTACATGCCCCCCCATTGGGGATCGGGCCCACAACCTGGGCATGTGCCCTGACTGGGAATCGGACTGGCGACCTCTTAGTACATGGGTCAGCGCTCAACCACTGAGCCACATTGGCCGGGCTTGCATGGCTAATTTTAAGAGGTTTGTTTACCAAGACTCTGTAAGACCATAAGGTTTTAGGACAGAGGACAGGTAAATTCGGATGAGAGAAGATTGAGAAAGGGAAAGGACTTGGATGGAGACCTTGTCCTTGAGATGGAGTCTGGTGGGTCAGCGAAGGTCAACATGGGGTTGCTGAGGCCACCACAAGAGAGAACGGGGCTTGAAAACAGGTTCTGCTGATGCCACTCACGATAGTTTGCTCTCGTCAAAGTCTTTTATCGGGGTACCCTAGCCTCCCCAGCCCCCATCCATTCCTGTTGCTGCTAGTGAAATAGTCAGTCTAGACTGCAGCTAGGGAGGTGACAGAACGAGAGGCCACAAAGGAGTCAGGGTGGTGGTGGGGGCAGTTGGGAAGAAGGTGTTTCCAGGACAGACGTCGAGCCCCGAAGTTGCTCCCAACCTCACTTCAGAATCTGTGCCAGCCACTACCCCTCAGCCTCCCCAACATTTTCCCTCAAGGCTTCCAAAGTTGGCAGGGAGGGAGCAAGGAGGAAACCCAAACTTGCAGTTTCATAGCTGGAAAGATTTGGCTGACGTGCAACGATTTTGAAGTAGAATCACAAGGCACAAAAGCAACTTCTGTAGAGAAGCAGCCAAAAAAGTTCCTGCACGTTAAACACCCAAGGAGAGAGTGACCAAGAGTGACCTGGCCGGTAACCCGGGTCACGGAGTGACTCGGCGCTCCTTGGCATGAAAGCAATGAGACCGGGCAAACTCTCGGTGTCAGCGGCCAACCCCAAGCGTGGGAGCATGAAACGTGGGTTCACAAGCAGACCACAACAGCACACATGTGTTTCAGAAAGACATGTGCTTGACAGCTCGAACAAATCCCTAGAGGGACGTGGCTGCTCCAGGATGGAGGCAGCACGACCATGCAGTGTCCAGAGGTGGTTGTCCTTCCTCTTGGTGAGGGCCACACTCCTGGGGGCAGTCAGGAGGCCAACGGGAAGGAGGGAAGTGGAGCCTTTTGTATTTGTTGTTGGTCCACTGCCCTGCTGGTCCCTGGGCACTTTCTCTCTGAGCCTGGCTCTTTCCCTAGGCAAGACATGACCTTCGGCCCTGGGAGAGGCTCCAGAAACAGCAGCCTCCCTCCACTCCCCCACGCCACCGCCACTCACTGCTCAGATTGCCCTGCAGGACGACCCAACGCAGCTGTGACCAGGTGTGTCTTCATTCTGCGAGAGTGAGGGCGCCTGCCCTGGACTTTAGAGCTGCAGAAATTGCCAAGTCATGCACTCAGGCTGCCTTTAGTTTAAACGAATGCTGGCTGACTGCATCTTGAGAGTTGGTAACTACGTTTCAGTTAAGAACGCGTTTGGTGCATTTGCTCATGGACTACAGAGGTTGCCAGACTCCTAACAAGTGGCGTAGAAAGTCTCAGTGGTGCTGAAAGTCCTTATTGACACATCTGAGAAAGTTCAGAGTTGGTCATGATGACATCTGGGCTTGGTTCAGAATTGATTGCTACAAAGGTGATAGATAATTGCTGTCATTCCCCCATCACACCCTCTTCCTTTTACCGAGTCACTGGGCCTTCTCATTAAAAGTATAGTCGGGGCCCCAAATGGCCCGGCTGGTAAAATGTCGAAAGAAAGAAGTTTCTCACTAAGAGCTACGAGCTAACTGTGGAACCTGCTAGTATTGGAGTTGGGTTCTCAGTCCCTTTGAAGTCAGTCTCCCTTTCATGAGAGTTCCCTCCTGCTCTTCTCCCCACATCCTCAGACACTAGGTGTAACGTGTGTGGGAGCCAGTGTGGGAGGAGGCTAACCTTCTACCTGAATTCCACGGGAGTGTCCCAGACCCTCAGGGCCAGGCCCGGGTCCTCCTGCTCTCTTCCCTCTGTTCCTAGCTGTCCTTCTCATCGTTATGTGAGGGCTCCCAGAAGGACATCTGGCCTCTTGGACACTGACGTTCACACTTGGCGTCTTCACGGGAAAGCACCGTGAGTGTGAGGTGCTGTTGATTCCTGTTCCTGCTTCTGCCCTGCCTCCCCGAAATGGTCCGTGTCTCATCCTCGGATCTCAGTGGCTGGTTCTGAAGCCCGCCACCTGGGAGTCCTCGTTAGGTCCTCCCCGCCACCATCCCCAACCACATACCTTCGCAAGTCCTAGCATTGTATCTCCAAGATGCTGTCAGAATCTGGCTGCTGCTGCCATTCTCCATGCTGCTCAGCGGGTCCAAGCCCGCTCCATCCCTCAGCCCGGCTACGCGACAGCCTCTGCCTGTGAAAGTCTTTCGTTTTGCACAAGTCCTCAGAATAACTACGTTGTGACCCTGAAAGTCATAATATTGCCTGTCAACGATACTCTATAATAAAAAACATATTAGGACTAATAAATTTAATCATTGGCCTATTGAGGAACATTTAGTCCACTTGTATTCAATGCCATTATTCTTGTTGCTGTTAGGATTTCGGTTATTCTTCCTAAGGTAATGTTTTTTTCCCCTCTGACTGCTTTTAACGTTTTATATTTCATCATAAAAGGTGTGGGCTTCTTTTTCTTACACTGCGTGGAATTGACTGGGCTTCTTAAGTATGTAGATTTGGTATTTTTCATCATTTTCGGAAAGGTCCCGGCCTATTAGACTCCCGCTGTGTTTGGGCCTGGACTTTGATTGTTGTCCCTCTTGATTCCTGAAAATATAAAAATGAAAATTCAGATGTGTAGGGATTGATGAATACAATTAGGGAAAATACAGCTTCTGTGCTTATTTACCTCTGTAGGTCCATATTATCCCTTTACATTTGGCCCGGGGATTTCTCACTATGTTGTCAACAGTTCAATGGTTTTAAAAGGACTTTAAAAAAAAACATGTTATTGTCCTGGCCAGTTTGGCTTAGCAGTTAGAGCATCGACCCATGGACTGGAGGGTCATGGGTTCAATTCCAAGTCAAGGGCACTTATCTGAGTTGCAGGTTTAACCCCCAGCAGGGTTGTGCAGGAGGCAACCAATCAGTGTGTCTTTCTCACATAGATGTTTCTCACTCTCTCTCTCTCTCCCCCCCCTCTTCCCCTCACCCCCTCCTTTCCACTCTACCTAAAAATCAATGGAAAAATATCCTCAGGGGAGGAATAACTATATATATATAAAATTTAGTGATCTTTGTGGTTTACAGATGATGAGCGATAGTTTCAAAGGAACTAGTTCACTATTAATGAAAATTTGCATTCCTCACCTTTGTGTAGGTAAAATTTTTCTTTTTCTTGATTTATTACCAATCTGGAGTTTAAAGGATTGTCAACATTAGAGGTCAGGGTTCTGTAGATCTGCTCATCTCATTTTCTGTTAATGTTTTTGAGCTCATAACAGACTTTTTGAGAACTTTATCTACTTCTCCCCAGTAGCCACCTTATGACTAAAAGAGAGCCTTTAATTTGCTTTCTGTTCTTATTTGCAGATGCAGATGAGTGTCAAGAAGCAGAGGAAAATGTGGAACACATCCCATTCTCCCACACTCGGTATCCTGAGAAGGAAATGGTTAAGAGATCCCAGGAGTTTTATGAGCTTCTCAATAAGAGACGCTCTGTGCGATTCATAAGTAATGAGCAAGTCCCAGTGGAAGTCATTGATAATGTCATCAAAACTGCAGGTCTGTAATTGCATACTGGGGCTTTAAGAATGTCAAGTGCGTCACTGCAGGTGGAGCTAAGTTGAAGTTTCAACACATGAATGAAGCCTAGAGCGATGAGCTTACACCCAGAGCAGTCAAGTCTCACCCAGGTGTTGACTGACTGCCAGAAACAGGATGATTCCCCCTTTCTACAAACTTTTGACTATTATGGACTTCTTAGGAGCAGATGTAACAACAGTTCAAAACCTCTGAAATTGTTCAACATTATGAACTTGAATTAAAAATGAAAACTTCTTAACATACTATTATACATTAGAAAAGAGGAAGAGAAACATCTTTCTTTTCCCTTCTTCTTAAAACACACACACGCACACGTACAGAGTTTCTCTCTCTCTCTCTCTCTCACACATACACACACACACAGAGTCTCTCACACACACACACATACAGTCTCTCTCTCACACACGTACAGAGTCACACACACACACACACAGTCTCTCTTTCTCTCTCACACACACACACAGTCTCTCTCTCTGTCACACACACAGTCTCTCTTTCTCTCTCTCTCTCTCTCTCTCTCACACACACACACACAGAGTCTCTCTCTCTCTCTCTCACAACACACACACAGAGTCTCTCTCTCTCTCACACACACATGTACAGAGTCTCTCTCTCTCTCTCACACACACACACAGAGTCTCTCTCTCTCACACACACATGTACAGAGTCTCTCTCTCTCTCTCTCTCTCACACACACAGAGTCTCTCTCACACACACACATATACAGAGTCTCTCTCTCTCACACACACACACACACACACACACACACACACACAGAGTCTCTCTCTCACACACACACACGCACACACACACTTACCCATTTCTCTTTTTGGCACCAAGCTTCTTTTTTGTAATTTTTTTCTTTATTTATTTTATTTATTTACTTATTAATTAATTAATTAATTTGTAGAAGTTATAGTAAATTTATTCAAGAGACCTGGACTCTCAGTCAGAAAGTATATTTTCTTTTCTTTTCTTCAACTTTTATTAATTTGTTTTTGTTTCTTTGTTGATTTTAGAGAGAGAGGAAGGGATAGGGAGAGAGAGATAGAAACACCAATTAGAGAGAACATTGATTGGCCGCCTCCTGCATTCCCCTGACTGGGATCGGGCCCATAACCTGGGCATGTGCCTTGACCAGGAATCAAATAGCAACCTCTTGGTGCATGGGTCCACACTCAACCGTTGAGCCACACTGTCCGGACGGAACCAAGTTTCTTATTCATACACCATAATTCTCTAATTCTATATTCTAATGACCTTGAAAATTTACTTGTGTGAATTTGCAAAGTAAACCAAACAAGGCAAACTCATTTTCAATGTAAATTAATACTACAGAGAAAAAAGTGAAAAATATAGAAAAGCAGGAGGAGAAATAAGAGCCAGCTCCCTATTTGAGAGTCTCCTGTGCTTTGAGTCTTACTCATTTCAGTTAAGAATACACATGCACTAAATTGTTGAGTACTTTATCTGATAAACTAATAGCAGTTACTAAATTTCTTCTGTGTATCTGTATCTGTGTGTGTGTGTGCATGTGCGTGTGTGCGCGTGCATATGCTGCTTAGATAAATTTGGCATAATTGAAATCATTAGGGAACAATTTATTTCTTAGGTTAGTGACACAAATATTTATCGGAAAAATAACATAGGTACAAAATAAGCTGGAATCGCTGTTCAGAAATCTGGGTTTTATGTTTAGCTTTGACTTGCTGAAGCATATCTTGGTTTAATCATGCCCTCTGTACCACGGGGGGTCATGGGTGGAAACCAGAATGCCATCAAGGCTGGAGGCCTGCGGGCACCTCACGCTGAGTTTATGCCATTAGATTACTCACTAGGAAGAAAGGAACAGTTGCTTCTGAAATATCCCTCCAGAGAGTCACTCTGGTCTACTGCTAGGAACAGCGGGCCATTTCCAGGACAGAGGGGTGACGTCCAGGTCAGAAGCTGGCCCAGGCCATGGCTGCAATCGTAAGGGAAATTCAAGAGCCTTGGGCACCCAGATGTACTGTGAAGCGTGGCCGGGGACACGGGGGCTGATCACGGTGTGGGTGGGGTGTTCCTGAAGCCGTGCGAGGTGGAAGACACACTGCTGTGTCCTGAGCACCTAGAGCACAACCACAATTTATCACTTCGTTGCCTTCTGAGAAGTATTTTAAAACCACTTAATCATCTGAATTTTACCATTTCCGATAAGCATCATGACTTTATCCTTTTTCAACAATATCAAACCAAACAACATTACGGGAGCTCGAGCTCAGAATTTCCCCGAGTTCCTTTGTGCAGTCACCAGGATGAGTTCTGCCTCCTAGTTAGAGAAGCAGTGACAGGCTCCCACAGCCCTGGGACCCCTGGCCTTGACCTCAGTCAGCCGGTGTGGAGCCTCCCACAGTGAGGCAGGCTGAAAGGGGGCGGCAGCCACACCCCACGGTCTCACCAAGCGCTCTGTTTGCCAGAAGAGGTAACTTCGTTTTGGACAAGTCTGAACCACTCTGTTTAATCTTAATTAACGCTCCCATATTTTCCTGCAGTTTTAACTTCTGTTTAATTGAATGGGTGACAGGAACAGCCCCGAGTGGGGCCCACACGGAGCCCTGGACCTTTGTGGTCGTGAAGGACCCGGATATGAAGCACAAGATTCGGGAGATCATTGAGGAGGAGGAGGAGATCAACTACCTGAAAAGAATGGGGCCGCGCTGGGTCACAGACCTGAGGAAGCTGAGGTGCGAAGGTTGGTGGGATCGGGGAGGTTCCCTTTGCCCTCTCACAATGGAAGAGCTGGGACTGCAGTTTCCTGGTTTTGTTTGCGGTGTTAACATGTCGGGTTCTACCTCTGTGCGGGATAATGGAAGCTCAGGTCTCAACTGTATTGCTTGGAGCACACATATCGTGGAGTGTTTGGGAATTGGGCTGGAAAAGGGTTTGGGTCAAATGTTAGCTCTGGTCTTCCAACTGAAAGACCTTGGGCATTTATTTACTCTTTCTAAGTATAGTAGCCTGGGTTCTCCAGAGAATAGAATCAATGGAGAGAGAGAGAGACACAGAGATAGAGACAGAAAGACACACACACACACACACACTCACACACACACACACACACATTATAAGTAATTGATTCAAGCAGTTAAGGAGGTTGAAAGGCCCCAAGAACTGCAGTCCTACTTTGTTACAATCCTACTTTGAGTCCAAAGGCGGGAGATGATGATACCTTCGCTCAAAAACAGTCAGGCAGAGAGAGCTATGCTTTTGTACTCCCCCTTTGCATTCTATTCAGGCCTTCAAGGGGCTGGATGAGGCCCCCCCACATTCGGGGGAACAATCTGCCTTACTCAGCTTACTGTTACTCTCATCCAGAAACACCCTCACAGACAGGCCCAGAATCACGTTTACCCGAATCCCTGGTGCCCCGTGGCCCAGTCAAGTTGATGCATAAAACTAACCATCACACTGAGCTTCTCTTTTAAAAACTTGGTGTCAGGATTAAATTAAGTCAAGTGTAAGAGCAGGGCCTCCAAAAGTAGAGTGCTTGGGTTCAAACGTGAGTTCTACCACTTGTTGACCTCTCTGTGACTCAGCTTCCTCATCTGTAAAATGGGACTAAGTCAAGTGTTTCCGTGATCAAAGGAGTCCGTAAGCACACAGAACAGTGATGACACATGGTAACTGCCGTATGACTTTCTGGGAAATAAATCGGCTCTGGTCCAAGTCATAGTAAATAGAACTTTGAGAATTTACCTCACTTTTCTCCCACCCAGAATATAAGATTGGAAATACTTCTCAGAATCTTGAGTAAATTACATTTTGATAAATTGATCAGATCTCCAAATGATCTCATGAATCAGGCTTTGGTTTTAGTGCACATTTAGTGAAAGTACACATTTAGTATCAGCATCATATTCGTTAGGCATCAGTAATGTTGTGGGCTCCCTCATCCCCAGAAAAAGAGGATGTGGAATCCGGTGCAACCAGTTGTACTCCGGCGCCTCATGTAGTAGGGTAGGTATGACAAGGGTTCCTTTTCTCTAGTAGCTACAGCTACCTGTGCCTTGCTGCATACTCTTCCTCCACGGAGGGGCGGTCACCTTCCATGTCTCAGGTGGATTCTGGAACTTCTCAGTCATTTTTGGAATTAAAATAGTCACAATTTTTTAGATTCAGTCTTGCCATTAAAAAACAAATTGTGTGTGTGTGTGTGTATGTAAAGGGACCTCACAAAGGTGAATTCCTTCCCTTCCAGTCTCTTCTCCGGCTGAGTGTGCGGAGGGATGGGTTTCTGCACTTAGAGAGACAGTGTGGTCTGGCTGTGCCCAGGACCCAGAGAGCTGCCAGCCAGTCGCTTTCCTCTGTGAAAGCAGGGCATCCCATGAGCATCTTCCGGGCATCCCAAACAGCCAATTCTCCATAGCATTTTAATTATTGGTGTGCTTTTCTTCTCATTCTATAGGCCTTATTTAGAAAGCTTTGTTGTACACCAAGATACTCTTGAGAATCCAGTATAGACTTTCTTTGCAGATGATATGTACATACATACATACATACATACATAAACTCTAGGGTCCAGGGAGCTCTAGTTTAAAATAGTTTTATACCATCTAGCATAGTGCTGATGTTTAGTAGGTAACTGAATCAATGTTTGATAAATTGAACTGCAAATGAGCACATGTCCTGACATCCTGTTTGAATCAACTATGAAACCCACAGCTGTGATTAAAGGCTTGATGTACAATCTGGGACTCACCCACCAAACCTTATCTCTTCCTGCTTGGGGTGTGATCCCTCCACCCCAGGCAGAGAGCTACTTGCCCTTCTCTTGACAGGCCTGCACGCGGCTGACTTTTCATTAGCCCCATGAGGATGTCATAATACATCCTTATAAAATGGAAGAAGTCCAGAATATTACATATCAATGTATGCCTAGGCAAAATAAGTATAAAAATTGTTAAAAATTACTAACTTGCCTTCAAACTAGGTAGATTGCTTAATCTTCATCTGAACTTATAATTTTAGAAAATTATTTATTATAAAAATATTTACTATGAAATTTACATCCTATAAAATAAAATTACTGTAGCAATAATAATAATGCTAACTAACACATACAAGGCACTATGTGCTGGGTACTATTCTAAGCACTTTATCTATTTTGACTGATTTCACCCTCACAGTAACTGTGTGAAGTGAGTGTACATATGAGGAAGCTGAGCCGTGAGATGCTAAGTATCTTGTCCAACAGGGCACGGCTAGTTGCATCCAGAGTTTGTCCTTTAAACCATTCAAGTTCTCCCTCTTTGTAAGAAAAAAACTGATAATCGTCAAATGTGGCTAAGCTCATGAGTGTATAGTAAATAATCTTTGAAATTGTAACCTGTAGAGGAACCATAGAAAAATACACAAGTGAGCCCTGGCCTGTTTGGCTCAGCAGTTAGAGTGTGGGCCTGTAGTCCAGAGAGACCAGGGTTCGGTTCCAGCTAAGGGCACGTACCTTGGTTGCAGTTTGTCCCCGGCCCTGGTTGGGTCGTGCGGGCGGCAACCACTTGATGTGTCCCTTTTATATTGATGTTTCTCTCTCTCTCTCTCTCTCTCTCTCTCTCTCTCTCTCTCTCTCTCTCTCTCCCCCCCCCGTCTCTCTCTCTTCCTCCCACTCTATCTGAACAAAAAATGGAAAAATGTCCTCGGGTGAGGATAAAAAAAAAAGAAAAATACGCAAGTGAGTTTAGTGCATTTTAAAATGGTGAAGCATAACCAAGCTAAAAAGAAAATGAATGCTCTCTTGCTAATTAATGACATAATATATCCTAAGAAAATATTCCAATACATAGCATTACATGAGTGTCTTTACTTTGAATATATGTTCTAGAATGAAGCCTTTGCCAAAATGTATGGGATGGGGTGATGGGATAGAGAAAGATATGCTCTTAACCAGAAAACGAACATTTGAACTCATCATTTATACCTCACGTGAATTATCTCCCACCCTTCTTTCCATAACCTGGCTAACAGCATTACCACCTGCCTACCTGCAATTTCAGTTAAATTTCACCATCATCTTTTTCTTCTTTCACGCACATTCCTTTACCAGATAGGTCAGCTTCAGCCTCTGCACCTCCCCCAAGTTCTCCTGGGCCATGCCCACCATCTCCTGTCTGGTCCCCTTGAGTTGGTCCATTGCCCATGCCCATTTGCCTCTTCCCGAAACAGACCTGGTCACGGAATGCTTCTGCTCAGAAGCTAATGATCACCCTCTGTGAGCCACCGAATGAAGTCCAGGACCCTGCAAAGTCTGTATGTAACCTGCCAGCCCACCCATGCCCCACCATGCACCCCACCCTATAGCCCACCAGGCTTCTGGAAATTCTCTGCCAGGCCCTCTCCATCCTGGGTCTGCCTTCACCCTTCTGCTCACTAGGATGCTCTCCAGCACCCCTCTGCCTGGTCTCCAGTGCCCTGCCCCCAGGGAAACTAGGAACGTTCCAATCTTCCTATTCAAAATCAACAATTCATTTGGGGGTTCCTACTGCACTTGCTTATATTTCTTAAACAGCGCTCACCAGGTTTTATTTTGCTAAACTTGGCTTATTGCCCAGTTGGTTCTAGAATCCATCTTTGTATTTTTCAGCATTTTCAGGTGCCTTGTCTTGCTGGGCCCTTATGAATACCTGTTCATTGACTTGGATAGAAAGAGATGAACATGACACCAGGAAAAAGCCTGGTCTTTTCCAATTTAAGCATAAAAGACAAGTAAATGTGTTTTATTTTCAACATAAATAAGCTAAGGTAGTAAAAAAAATCATTAAAGGCGAATATTCTCCAGAATATTTTATTTTCCCCCTTCAGAACTAACTGGATTAAAGAGTACTTGGACACTGCTCCTGTCTTGATTCTCATTTTCAAACAAGTACATGGTTTTACTGCCAGTGGCAAGAGGAAGGTCCATTACTACAATGAGATCAGTGTGTCCATCGCCTGCGGCGTCCTCCTCGCTGCCCTGCAGGTATGCTTCCCTCCCGTTGAGACCAGTGGGGCGGGCCAACCCGCCTTCTTCATGGACTGCAGCCGAGTTTCTGGTTCAGGGACATTTGGAAATTGTATATTTAAAGTTGAATTCCTAAGGAAGGCCACTCTCATGTGAAAACTGACTCTGAACAGCAGGCTGGGTGGATAAATGGTTCAACAAGCTGGACTTCTTCCTGAAAATTCACCTAAAACATTATTTCAGGGTCAGCAAAAGGGCCCTGATGTTTGCCTTCATCTAGACTGATCTGAAGGTCGTGGGTGTTGGGAAACACACACTTTCAGAGCCTGGGAGCTCCCGGGACGGGTTTTCTAGCTGTGTTTGCTGTTGTTGGCTGAGCCCATGGAATGATTAAAAAGCTGTAAGGAGCTCTTTGAGTTACATTGTATTGCATCAGAAAGATGTCCATGTACTTTTAAAAATTCCATCTACGTAGCAGCTGGAACAATACTAAGCACGGAACAGAGCAGCTGAGGTACACCTTTCACTTCATTCAATTCATTTCCTTCCTCCACAAATGTCTTCTGAGTTCCTTCTAAGCAACGGATCCTGGGAAGTATGAATCATAGTCGCCTCGTGAACTGTGCATTCTGCTGGGAACTGGGGTCTTGGGGTGGAGAGAGACCGTAAACGTAAAAAATAAAGCAAACAAGACTGTGAGAGCAAGTGATCATACTTCCAAGGGACAGTTGATTCCAAATACATCACTATGTGCTTCTTCAGTATCTCAAAGAAAAGTATGTATGTCGAAAATACCTTACAAAATATAGTCATTGTTACACAAAAGAGAAACAGATTACTCGAAAATTTGCCCTAAAGGAGCTGAAATCTTATTTTTATTTTCCTGATTCTGTACAAATAAATAAAGGAATCCCTGTGCCGCAGGGCACCTCCCTCCCTCTTAGGGTCCTGGAGGACGGAGCTGGTTCCAGGGGAACTCCTTTCCCAAAGCGGTTTCTGCGCCTTTGACTCAGCAGCATTTTTTATTCAGTGCTGTTTGCTGCCCTCTGGCTTCCCAGAGGCCTGATTCTGAGTGTAGGTCCTGCTTTGTGAGGGAGGAAGGCCCCCATGTGGACAGACCGCATCATGACTGCAGTTCCAGAACTTTCTGGCTCAGGCTTGGCGTGCGATCTGATAAAGCAGGGAGGATGGGCAGGGCCAGCTGGGGAGCTGTCGTCAAGCCACACATGATTTTTATTAGATGTTTATTATCTGGAGGGGCTTGGAGAGGTTGATGCAGTATTTTCTCTGCCTCCTCCTATCACTGGACTGTGGTTATCAGCCAGGATGATGCTTTGTCCATGGTTAGAGCACAGGAATCATTTGGTGGTTTTTGGTTTGTTTTTGGGTCATTCCTTTGGTGTAGCTGGATTCCCCAAATTTCTTGCCATGAAATAATCATTCATATTTCTGAAGCATTCATGAAATACAGTGATACCTCGGTTCTCGAACGCCTCGGTTTTCGACCAAATCAGTATTCGACCAGGAGATTCGAGAAACTTTTGTCTCGGAATCCGAACAAATATTTGGAACTCGAACTTCCGAGATGAGCCGAGTTGAGCCGAATGGCGTTCATTCGGCCCAGCGCGCCTTGCTTGCGTCCTCAGTGTGAGTGCAGAGAGAGAGGCACGCTTTGTGGAGTCACGCTTTCCTATTGGGTTTCATTGCTTCGGTTCTCGAACAATTCGGTTCTCGACCGTCCTCCTGGAACAAATTTTGTTCGAGAACCGAGGTATCACTGTATAAGACTGGCATTTTCTTCTTCGAGAACCTTCCTACTGTTTGGTTAAAAGAAGGTGGGAGCTGGGGATGTCGAGGAGAACTGGCAAAATTCTAGATACCCCTTGCCTCTTTGCGGCCCAATTTCAAGGACATGAAAGGGACTAGAATGTCCCCAGGCGTGAAGCAGAGCCGTGCTGACCTTTCAATGTGCTCTTTCCCCTCCTGTTTTAGAATGCAGGACTGGTGACCGTCACCACCACGCCACTCAACTGCGGCCCCCGTCTCAGGGTGCTCCTGAGCCGCCCCACCAACGAAAAGCTGTTGATGCTGCTCCCCGTGGGGTACCCCAGCAAAGAGGCCACGGTGCCCGACCTGAAACGGAAGCCTCTGGACCAGATCATGGTGACTGTGTAGGCAGGAGACGAGCAGGGAGATGCTGGGAGGTGATGTGCCTGCTCCCCTCTCCTGTTCCTCTTGGGTCTCCGGCTGCTCTTTCTCTGGGTGTTAGCACCCTCAGGGGTGGCCGCTTTATGCCCAGCAACCTTTCCACACTCTCCAGCACTTTACGTCTGAGCTCCCTGCTTCTGATAGACAGTGTGGTTCAGTGAACATAGAGTAAGATCAACAGGTACGTTCTCTTCCATTTCTCATCCCCCTTGGAAACGCATAACAATTTTACTTAAGAACATGTTCCGGTTTTCAAGTTTTTACATTGTTCCAAAAGAATCACAGGTAATTTTCTTTCTTTTACTTTTAAAGTACTCCTATAGAAAGAGCACAGTCATCAGACAATTTAATGTAGTTTCAAGAATTCAGCTATGTGATGATTCTTGAATTTAAACTTAGACTAATCAAATGGGTTGCTGGTGGATTTTTAGGCAAAGGATGTGCTTTTGAGATACTCTTTTACTGAACTTCATGAAAAAAGATATTTTGCCTGTTTTGAATAAGTGACTATTGAAACAATTGAAATGTCATACTCACAGAGCAGAACAGCGCACGCTTGAGTATGGGGGTGGGACTGTCTGAACATATAATGGTTAGTTGCACAGTCCAGTACTGGAGTGGGGTGTTGGAACTGGCTCACATCAGCTTATAGAAGTTGATTGTTAAATATGCAGGAATTTGTGAGCCAGTTATTAAACCATTTGTAGCTTGAAAATGCTCACAGTGGGAGCATTTACACCACAGTAATCGGCAGATGCTACAAATCAAGATTTTTTTTTTTTTTTCATTAAAGAGAACTGTTTTCCATCCACAGCACTAACCATGTCTCCCTTCTTTTCTACTCCATCCCACAAAACACACTCATCCCTTCTGTCCAGATGGCAGTCAGGTCTGTTCAGAGCTGATGGGGTCACAGGTGCTAGCTTGGGAATGCCATTCTTTCATCTGTCACCTCTGTCTTTCCTTCCAGGAAGATTGTACACACAGGCACACTTGGAGCTCAAAGAATTGTTCATTAAGCAACTTTATTTACCTCTTTATCCCCTTCTATTGCCCCTTTTCTCACCTTTTTAAAAAATAAAAAAAAAAACAACTCAGTTCCCTCAAGAAAATCTCTCCTGCCTCTTTTCATTTCATGTGTGATTCACACAACTTAAGAAAAGCCCTCAGCCCTGGTCAGTTTGACTCAGCAGTTAGAGTGTTGGCCCATGGACCAGAGAGTCCCGGATTCGGTTCCCACTAAGGGCACATATTTTGATTGCAGTTTGTCCCTGGCACTGGTTGGGGTAATGTAGGTGGCAACCAGTCGATGTGTCTCTCTCACATCAATGTTTCTCTCTCTTTTGTCCTCCCTCTCTCCCTCCCGCTCTATCTGAAGATAAATGCAAAAATGTCCTCGGGTGAGGATTAAAAAAAAGGAAAAGTCCTCAGTATCATTGTTGAGAGTCAGAGCTGGTGACAAATCTGTGTCAGAGAAAAGGAAGACTTTTCCCCCTTTAACGTATAGTTCGATATTCCAAGAACTTGTTCCCTCAACCTGCAAAGTCCTTTGAAGTACCCAGAAGTCTCTTTTAGAATCTCCAAAATCTTCCATCCCTATCTTACTTCCTTTCAACATGCTTTTCCCAAAGTCTACACATTTTAATAAACACAAATTTAATAAACAAAAATTTCTTACATTTTATTTCTATTCTTGTTGTAAAAAAAAAATCATTAGTATTGTGATAGGCATTTGTCCTGTGCTCTTCAGTGTAAGCTTTACTTTAACTACGTGTGGCTTTGTTAGAGGTCTATGGGCTGGAATGGGAACCTAACCACTGTACTTCATACTGGTTTTAATAGGAAAAAGACACTATTAGTTCCAAATATGAGGACAATAAACACACTTTGGCATCACAGCGCAAAAAATTGAAGATCTATTTATAAACTTCTGTTTCTCACATGGAAGAACTATTTGAACCCAGGGAGCTCTTTGGTAATCATAGTTTACCCTGCTCAGGCCGGGAGAGAACTGCCTTCCAGGGTCTGGGGTGAGAGGGGATCTTGCCAGTGCTGGGGTCCGAGTACAGTCATTCAAGTACAAAGCCCCTTGAGAGGGAAGAAAAAGTCTAGATTGTGCATGAGTTAGAGGCCCTTGAGGAAAATATTGCAAAGGGCTGGCCACCATCCATGTCACCACACTCAGAAAAACAGCCCTGATTTGTCACAGATGCCGAGCGAAGGTACAAAGGCAGAGGTTTGGGACATGCTGTGGCCAGCTTTCTCTGGGGGATGGAATTGAAATCAACTCAGTCCACAGAGCACAGCCTAGATCAGCAGTTCTCAACCTGTGGGTCATTACCCCTTTGGGGGTTGAACGACCCTTTCTTTTTTTTTTTTGGTTCTTTATTGATTTTAGAGAGAGAGGAAGAGAGAGATGGAAACATCGATGAGAGAGAACATCGACTGGCCGCCTCCTGCATACCCCCTACTGGAGATTGGGCCCACAACCTGGGCATGTGCCCTGACTGGGATTCGAATCGGCAACCTCTTGGTGCAGGGTCGACGCTCAGCCCCTGAGCCACACAGCCGGGCTTGAATGACCCTTTCACAGGGGTCGCCTAAGACATAACAGTAGCTAAATTACAGTTGTGAAGTAGCAACAAAAATAATTTTATGGCTGGGGGTCACCACAACATGAGGACCTGTATTAAAGGGTTGTGGCATCAGGAAAGTTGAGAACCACTAGCCTAGATGGACCTGGACTCAGTTTCTCTTCTGGTGCTCACCAGCTGGGTGGCTGTGGAAGACGGAATCTGTTTAAGCCTCACGTTCTTCATTATAAAGTGGGGATAAACGTAGTACGTACCTCGGTTATTGAGACGATTGAAAGCGACAGTTCTCATACACGTCCTGCTTATGGTAACCACCACTTCTTATTAGCTTCTCCTGTTGGCTTCTGATATTATGATTTGTTTTGTTGTTACTGTCATTAATACTCGATGCTTTGCATGTTTGGCCAAAAAAATAAAATGACACCCTTTTGAAGTCTTGTCCTTAATGCACTAAATCATTAACATGTAAAAGAAATGAACCCGCTGCCTCCGCTTGGCCTGAGCTGTTCCAGGGACTGGGGCATGACTCTGGCTGGGGCTTTCGTGCCCCTTTGCTGATGGCACTGCTCTCATACTTACACTTCACTTTTCTGCGCACTTGGAATTTTTCAAAGTAAAAAGTTGAAGGAGCAAAAGCATTTAGGGTAAGTCTGATTGGAAATGCTACATGTAAATAACCAGGTCATTCAGTCATAGAAACAACTTGTTTGAAAACGCCCAAGTCCATCATTTGGTGTAGAGATTAACTGAAGGCACCAGAGATCAAGTTCATTTTGCTGGATTATCTTGGCGTGTCCCCAAGTAGATAGTTGAAGGTGTGAGGATGGGAACCCCAGGGTTTGAGTTGCTCATGTATAAACAGTTCATCTTGCTTGTTCCTGGAATGGGGGCCTTCCAGGGAAGCCAGGAACTTGAACCCCACCCTCATTTCTTCTTCTTTTTTATTTTGAAGACGTTTTTACTTTAAACTAATTAGATTCACAGGAAATTACCAAAAAAATGTACAGGGAGGTCCTATATACCTTCACCCTGTTCCCCCAATGAGAACAAACGCCTTTTTCAATGTTACTACTTTTTAAAATGTTATTACTCTTTCATTTATTTTTTTAAGGTATAATTCACATGCCCTATAACTTACCCATTTAAAATGTTCATGTCAGTGATTTTTCAGTATATTCAAGAGTTTGTGTAATCAGCACCACTATTTAATTTTAGAACATTTTCATCACCCTAACAAGAAACTCATAGCCTTTAGCAGTAACTCCCATTCCCTGTTTTTTTCCACCAGCCCCTGGCAACAATTAGTCTGCTTTCCGTCTCTATGGATTTGCCTGTTCTGAACATTTATATTAATGGATCCATATGACATATAGCCTTTGGTACCTGGCTTCTTTCACTTAGCATAATGTTTTCAAAGTTCACCCATGTTGTAGATGTATCAGTTCTTTACTTTCTTTCTTTTTTTTAAATTTTTTATTAATTTTTTGTTACAGATATTTCTCATTTTTTACCCCATTGGCAACCCCCTCCCCACCCCACCGCCAACCCGTCCCTGGCTTAGTTGTCCATGTCCATTGGTCATGCGTACATGCATATAAGTTCTGTGGTTTATCTCTTCCCATCCCCCCCACCCCCTCTTCTGAGGGATGTCAGTCTGTGCCCTACTTCCATGTTTCTGGGTCTACCATATTACGTTCATTATATTCCGTTTATAAGTGAGATCATGTGGTATTTGTCTTTTTCTGCTTGCCTTGTTTCACTTAGGATAATACTTTCCAGGTCCCTCCATGTCGTCTCAAAGGATAAGAGATCTTTCTTTCTTACCGCTGCATAGTACTCCATTGTGTATATGTACACTGCTTTTCTATCCATTTGTCTACTGATGGACACTTGGGCTGTTTCCAGATCTTAGCTATTATAAATAGTGCTGCTATGAACATGGGGGTACATATATTCTTCCTGATTGGTGTTTCAGGCTTCTTAGGGTATATTCCTAGAAGCGGGATCACTGGGTCAAATGGAAGTTCAATTTTTAATTTTTTGAGGTAACACCATATTGTTTTCCATAGTGGCTGCACCAGTCTGCATTCCCACCAGCAGTGTACTAGAGTCCCCTTTTCTCCGCACCCTCGCCAACACTTGTTGTTTGATGATTTGTTGATGGCGGCCATTCTGACAGGTGTGAGGTGATACCTCATTGTTGTTTTAATTTGCATCTTTCTGATGATTAGTGATGTTGAGTATTTCTTCATATGTCTCTTGGCCATTTGTATGTCCTGTTTGGAGAGATGTCTATTCAGCTCCTCTGCCCATTTTTTAATTGGGTTTTTTGTCTTCCTTTTGTTGAGTCGTATGAGCACTCTATATATATTG